AGTTGTCATTGATCTTGGTGAATGACACCCCAAAACCCCAAAACCCCGCCTTTAGTACTAGAATTAAGTATTAATATCATTAAAAATAATCCAAAAATAAATATTGAAATAAGTTATTATAATAGATAGATATTAGGGGATCAGCAGGAATCTTATTCTTCAAGACTTTGAAAGCTCATGAAATATTATTGTTACTCTTATTATCTGCTGATAAGACTGACATAGCCTCCTTTACCGATATAGAATTTCTAGTCATTTATCTCACTTATCTTTCGTATAATTCTTATTGAGATACGATTTTTTGGTTGAACATCATGTTGTACCAATTCTTCAAACATCCCTTTTTCTAATTGATTGAGGCTCTTCTTTATCTTTTGCTTGACTTTCTATTTCTAAATATTGTTATATTATGATAACTTACTGGTTTTCATCAGCAACGATTGAGTTCCTAGATGATGTATCTCCTATTAAAGATTCGGTTTCACTAGCGAATTCACTGTCCATTTAACTTGCCATCTCAGAAAAACTACTTAGTGCTTTTTTTGAAAATCTTTCATTAGTAGTCTTTCCTGAAGCAAAATTCTTTACATGAACAAACAAAAGGAGACTATAATAATAGATTTAAGGAGATTTCATCACTCTTACGTTAATGGCACTACAAATAGAAAACTAATAATAATGTCAAGAATTGCAAAGGCAACTAGAGCAGAGTATTTATTACAGATTTGTACAAAACAGATGTATCTTAGAGGGTTATCTTTTAAGTTATCATCGGTGCCTCCAATTATACTCATAATGCTGATAAATATGGTAAAGCTGCACATGATCCAAGTAAATATTAGGAAAATCAAGAAAGCACCATGGTTACGAATGCCGACACAGTTATTAATCCATGGACAATGATGATCAAATCTTTCAACGCATAGATTGCATATGGCGCAATGTCTAGATCTCTAGGTTCTAATAACCTAACAATCTGGACAAAGCTCAGTCGGATTAAATTTCTGCATTAGTACCAAGAAATTTAGAGGCTTTCTGTTATCTTATCTAACATATCCAGGGTTTTTCAAAGATGCAGTTAAGAAAGCTGTCACAGTTATCAATGCAAGAACCACACTAATCACAGCATAAAACCATTCCTCATAATCTATAATTTGGCATTAACTTAAGAAATTTACTAGGATATTGAATGAAGAACAAAGCAAAATGAGCAAGAATGAATAACCCAGCAAAAGTAAACTAAGTTTTATGATTGGGCTTTAGTGGTACTAATGGAGTTTTAATCATTAGGCATTCCCAATAACTTGGTTTTCTCTATTATTCAAGTATAACTAAAATTAATAAATCTTACAAGCATAACTACCAGATCGTTTCTGACTGTCTCAGGCAAATTTTGGGGTATGTGGTCTGCTGCAGTTCTACCTTCCAAATCTTTGGCTAATCTATTAGCTCCTTTTAGTAATAAAGCTCTAACTGGCCTCGTAGATTTAAGCATTTCAACTGATTTTACAGCTAGGTGCAAGGGAGTAAATCCTTTTTGGTCCTATGCTTCTAGATTAGGGTTCATGGCTAATAGATAATTTAAGGCTACTTCTGACCTTGAATAGCAAGCCCAGTGAAGTGGAGTACTCAATCTATTGTCTCTAATGTTAATATCCATTCCCTTTTCTTTAAAGAAAAAAATCGGTAAAGCTTGATCTCCTTGAGCAGCAATATGCATCACAGTAGACCCAAACTTATTCCTCTTATAGATGTCAGAATTAGTATTATCCATTAGAAACTTTATCAAATTGTAATTTCCATGATAAGTAGCAAAATGCAAAGCTGTAAAATCTTCGTCTGTAGGTGAATTGGCCCACTCACTCAAAATTTACTTTTTCTGGTCGAATCTTCGATCACTTACATTGAAATCCAAAGCATGATTATAGAGAATCATAAACGCCTCTTCAGAATTCTTATAGCAACAAAAAGATAAAGCTGTGAATCTCCTAGCATCTCTAATCTCAACTATATTAAGCTATGCTTCTAATTTCAGGAGATTCTTTAATCCTTGAATATCGTTGTAGTGAATCATTTTAAAGATTTAATCCCATAATGGTTTGTTCTCTAAGACTGTACCAGGCTAAATGTTGGACATATTGTTAGTGGCATTTGTATTGTTAGTTTTTTTGCTACTACTAACTCTATTTGTTCTCTCACTCAATCGGTACAGTGCTTCCTAATTATTATTGTTATTATCATCTCTTTAATTATTATTTGGAGAGGCCGCAGCATGATCATTTTGATGCTATTGCTAATGATTAAGCTAGTCCTATTCAATTTTTATTGATTCATTCTGCTTATTTGATACACTCATGTTATATTACTTCTGATCTTAAGTATTCGTTGTCATTGACTCGCTCTCATTTTCAACTTATATATCAATCTATGTATGAGCTTAGGACTAAAAATGCTTTAAATAATAGGCATTTACTTTCATGAAAGAATTAGAGAGAATAGTAAGAACAATGATATTGCAATGAATTACTTACAGAATTGTTAATATGAGGAATCAATTGTGATGAGTTGTCATTCTGTGCGTATATGCCCGATTAGTTCAAGGAAGCAGCACCTGAGCCATATTATTCTAGAAATTATTATTGCTGGTTTTAGCTATTGTTTAAACCATCTTATTACTACTGTTATTCATCGCCTGAAGAGTAATTAGTTAGGTTTAATAGCAAAATTATACCTTGATGAGTGTTTTGACTCTGCATTTTGGATTATTATAATAATAATTAGCAGATATATACTTATAATTTACATCATAGTCAATCATGATTAAACTTATTCTAAGATTCAGTCAAGAGGGGTTTTGGGGTTTTGGGGTTTTGGGG